GCAGAGCCTGCCGGCCCTGCGGGGAGCAGAGGCCCTGGCCCAGGTCGGTACGAGCTCTGGGGCCGGTGCGGTGCCCAGCGTCCTTGCATCAACACGCCACCTGTCTAGTGCAGGTGTCAAACACCTCTGCAGCCGCGGCTTCAATCACCCGCTGGCTGGAGCTGGCAAAACTCCGAGCATCTGGATTTCCTGCTTCCACAGCTAGTGTGGGGTGTTGTGCTGGGAAAGCGCTTGCCTTCGGGCCCGCAAGTGGGGAACTTCTTTATTTCCTTCACAAACTGCGTGTAAATGCCAGCAGAGGGTGGGTTCCTCGTCTGTGGTTTTTAGAGCTGATCTGGCACTGACCGCTCCTGAGAATCGGAATAAAACTGCTGTGGTTTAAAAACCCAGTTCTTGGACAGGCTGTGTTCTGATCCACTGTGGCTGGCTTTGCGCAGGTGATTATGTTATAAATTGCTTTACACAGTGCACAGTTTTGCAAATACAGGGATTTACGGACAGGAGAATAAGCAAAGGGAATTCACGTTGTGGTGGTAGCTCAGTCAGGTGCTGGAAGTTAAGCGAGAAAGTAGCCGGAATGGGAGAATCACTGACTGATGCACCTTCCAGATGCTAGAGGACCCCGATGAGCTGGCAGTGCTGGAAGAGATCCAACAAGAATTGCTCTTGCAAGGTAATGCCTCTACATGTTTTCTGACTCCTATTGGCTTTGTAATATTCCTGACTTTCTAGTAATCCGGACTAGCTGAGGCTGCGCTCCGTGGTTCTTGTAGACCACACGATATGAGGGAAGAGCCTCCTTAGAGATCTCTGTAGCCTCTCTGATGCATTGAGACCCCTTTTGACAGTTTTAAGAGTTTAAGTGGCATTTTAAGGGCTGTGAGAAGCTAATAAGAGACCAGAGAAACACCACTGAGATGTTTGGGAGCTGTAGGAACCTGATGAAATAATTCAGAATGTCTCTAAATTGTTGGCGGGAAAGTGGAAAGTCACTCACTTGAGACAGGCTGAAGACTGAGCTGTAGGAAAATCTGGATCAACAGGAATGATTTCATCAAGTGTAAAAAATTTGATCCAAAGAAAGAAAAAAAATTCAGAAACTAGTGGCTGCCCCAGCCTCCATCTACCCAGCAGCTTCATGTGTGTCTTCAGTTCCTGGCAGCTGCCTGAGGGTGTTTTGCTGTGTTGTTGCAGAACAGTCCGTTATAGAAGAGTACGAGCGAAGCCTGCAGTTCGATGAGGAATGTCTCAACGCCGTGCTTGACGGCCTGGATGCCAGCGACAAGGTCATCTGCCCCGTGTGCAGACAGTAAGGAAGCCCCTTGGCATCGGGATGAGGTTCTCCGCTCCCCTACAGCAGTTTGGGCTTGGAAACGGGGGGAAGGCAGAGGCTGCTCTTTGTCTTGATGTCGGCAAAACAGAAAAACCTGAGCAACGATCTCCTACATCGAACAGGTCTTTTGCTAAAATCTACCTTTGTTCTGGTGGTTGTGATGATGCCCCTTGTATCCTCTTTCTAGGAATAACCTGACTGTGAGGAATCACTTGGTTTTGTGCCAGTGTGGACTGTACATCAGCACGCAGGTAAGCTGCGCTGCGAGTGGAACACGTTAAATGTGACATCTGACGTCTGCTGCTGCTAAGGGGCAGTTTTAAGCCTCAGACAAGTGTAAGGTTTCTTTTACCCCCATTTTTCGCAGGGTATGACAGAAGGGAAGCTTCGCTCACTTCTAGAGAGCACTGTGACAGAGCACAGTCACAGGTGCTTTCACAACCCAGAGTTCACAGTTACCAGTGGAATGGAGGAAGAAGCCAATCTGCTCATGAGCTGTCCGGTGAGTCCAAATGGCCACTTCCTGGAGAGGATCTGCGTGGATCCACTTCTCTGTTATGTGGGCAGGAACCCCGAGTCCATTGATCCCAGGGGTTTCTGTTGCTGTTTTTCCACAAAATTCCTTGGCAATGGTTTTACTTTTGACCACTACTAACCATAAAAAAAAAAAAAAAAAAGCCAAATTACACACCTTACCCTAACTGCTGGATTAGGGAACCTTTGGAGGACCTGTCAGATTTAGTGCCTCGCATCTTGGCCACCAACATTCAGGTCTTGTGTGGAGCAGCTGTTCAGGTAAATGGGTCATGAAGAAAAGCTTTAAAAATTACTTCAGTTTTAGCCTCCTCAAAAGGCTCGCCCATGCCGCTTAGAAAACACGTACCCTCCCTTTGGCTCAAGCTAGAGCAAGTTCTTAGCTTTGCTGCTTACCTAAAATCCCCGTGAGGCCACTGTTAGGAGCAGAGCATTTCCAACAGTGTTGAACATGGGTTCAGTTTATACACTGCTACAGCTTCTCTGTTCAACTTCCCTTTTGAAAGGTCTGTGACTCCTGGACAATCCTCCTGTAAGTTGACTTGGCTGCTGCTTTTTCACTGGAAGGACTTCAAGACTAAAAATCCACCCAGAGCTGCTAGTGTTTTTACATGTATGTTGTGTCAAAAAGACACTTGAAAAGGCCGTAGCACTGCCTTGACCTGCACTTTTAATGGCACAGTACGTGTTTCGCAATAAATGTACTTAATTTCAGCTGTAGTGTTGTCTTTAACGCTGCACCCGTCATCTCACAGCTCCCATCAGCTTTGGTTTCTCTTTAAACTTACCGTGACCTTGAGGCACCGACGGGAGACACAGGGTTGAGGAGGCGCCCGCAGCTGCTTCCCGCGTCAGCGCCTTTGCCAGCAGCAGCCACAGCCCCTCCATCGTTCCGCTGCCGCTGGAGTGCTCGGGCCTCTCCACGGCCTTTTCCCACAACAGCCACGTGAGCAGGAAGGGCCCAGGCTGTGGCAGCTCAACCCTTGTTAAAGCGTCCCCTCAGACACAGCGTCCAAGACCCCAAGTCTGTTCCCCAGCACGCAGCCAGCCAAGAGTTCCAGGATGAGGGTCCCATTCCTAACCCCTCCTGCAGGCACAGCTCTGGCAGAGACACCCTGCGCCGGTGGAGCTGCTGCAATTGCTCTCCCTGGAGAAAACTCGGGGCCAGCACACGCCCTCGCTGCAGCAACAGCCCCGTGAGCAGCTGTACTAACACCAGCTCAGGCACAGACAACTACCAGCAGCATTTTTGTAGCAGCTCCCGGGTCAGCAATGGTACAGCAAGGAGAAACCACGAGCCTTCAGTGATATGTTGAACAGATTTTATTCTTCACATTCACTCTTAATTGTACAAAACCCACCAAGTAGGGTGAGGCGATTCTGGACCATAACGCTGGAGGACTTGATCTGGGCTGCAACGTAAATACAAATCCCCAAATATAAGTGAGAATCCTCGTTCTCCACATTCCCAGCTACTTACGCCCCGTATCTGTTGTGAAGGTGTACTTGGGTACTGCTGGCTGGAGCAGCGCTGTGGAATACCCACACTTGAAGGTAACTTTCCCAGCCTCACCTACTGACATTTGACGAAGCTCTTAAGGTCTTCAAGGAATTTAATGTACTCCTGGTGCTCCAGTGCGGTGCTCAGCTCTATTAACTCATCAGCGAACGTGTTGTCCACTCCTCGGTCAGCCAGGAAATCCATCAAGTGGTCGTACAGAGCCTGGAAGCAACAACAGGAACCTCCCTGAGCAGAGCGCTCCTGGGTCCGGGCGGCTTTCCGAACGCCCCATGGCAGCTGGCATGGCTTTCCGCCGGGAAGACCAGGCCCAGGCCTGCAGGAGCACAGGCAGGGCCCCCTCTCGGCAGGCCTGGCCTGCGGCGGAACATGTGGAGGGAAGGGGCCATGGAGCAGGTCACCCAACCTTGAGCCATATAAACCCAAACCCAACATTACAAACGAGCTGCGCCCTGGAGACGATCCGCGGACTGAGGGTAAAGTCTGTCAAAGACAACACGGGCCAAGCGCTGCCTGTCCCCTCTAAAGCTGTGGCCTTGGGGGTGAAGTGCTTTAGTGGTGTCTGGAAAGGGTGTATCTGATGTAAATATTTGAGAGATTAAGTCTTCTACAATCACCAACTATTTTTTTCTTTCTCATTTTAATCCTACTTAACTGCTGCAACTCCAGCTTGTGGGCTCCCCCCGTGCTCCACAGACCAGGTTCGTTATCGCTGCTTAGGGCAGCAACGCCAATACCTGTCGTGCCTTTCTTGGCCTCTGTTGGTTTGGTTTTTAAAGACCAATACTGCTGAGCAAATGATTCATTTTGGACTTCAGTAATCCCAGCAGATCACAAATCACATGCAATTTAATTAATTTTCTGTCTCAAGTCAGAGGGCAGGGGCGGGAAGCAGCAGGGGATGTTCTAGAGCACACTAACCAATTTCAGCACCAACGCTCCCCGAGGAGAGCTACGCTCCAGTACGGTTTCAGCCATATGATACACGGCCTCCAACTAAGATTTAAGCTTCCCAAAGCCTCTCATTGGGAGCATAAGCAGATGCCAGATTCTTGGGCATATTAACTTTTTAGTGTCAGCACTACAAAAACGTACCTGGAAAAGAGGCATCTGCACGTGGCACCTGACAAGCCACGTTGTTAAACCATGGATGAAAAGATGTTTGAGCAAGTGTCAAAGCTTCTCTAAAATGTAACGTAGCTGCTGGGAAAGCAACTTACAAAGCCTGCAACAAGTTTCGGGGTGTGGGTCTCTGACTGCCAGTAATGCCACCAGCACTGCACGATGGCTGGGACCACCCAGTGACCCCCAGTTTGCAGCAGAGCCGCTATCCCACGGCAAACTGGGGCAGGGAGGGGGAATCCCCCATCTCAGGCACCCGGGACAGGAGTCGTTCGTTCTCGGGAGCTCACGGCCAGCCAGGCGAGGTGACCCCGCGGCCGCAAGCGCTGGCAGCACTTACCCAGTCGAGGGAATCCGTATTGAGGGTGTAGTTGGTGTCCTTCCAGTCCGCTTCTCCAGTGGGCTGAAAACTGACCTCCCGAATCGTGAAAATATCACTCTCTTCCTCTCCCTCATGTCCAACCTGAAGCAGGAGGCGAGATGTAAGACACAGACTCAGCTCTAACTGCCAGGCCCCTCCCGCCAGCTCATCCCAAAGCCAGGAACATCAGACCGCAGGCAAAACCCCGAGACCAGCACTAAAGCTGCGCCTCTCCCCCTCGACACGGGGCTGTGAAGACGAGCACAGACGAGCACGAGCACACAGGAAAGCCCCTCCGAGGTCAGCCTACCAGCTCGTGCTGCCAGAAGCGACGGGACGTCAATCAGCAGCCCAATTTTTACACAGATGTAAAAAAAAAACCTCTTCTGTGTGGTTCTAAATCTGTCTCCACAGGCCTCTCTAACCTTTGTCAGCTGGGACTGGCTGCGCAAGTGGTCTGTTAAGGTTCGCAAAACGAACCACCAAAGTCAGTGTGAACCAAAGCTCGCACTTTTATTTTCTCTTCTCCTTTTTTTTTTTAACCTTTTAACCCCTGCTTTTCTTTGTAACACCTCACAACAAAGAGATTTGCAAGTTTCTGAACCTATCTTGTTTTGGCCATTCCTGTTTGCCCCTCTCAAGCTGCCGTGCTGTTGAAGTTAAGCCATGCCCCCCTTCTCTAACGGAATTCAATAAATGGGCTAAAAGCAGCCGGCCAGAAAGGCCTGGTCAGGATGGGAGCAATGCAGCGGAACGTCTCCTCCTCAAAAAGTGCTCTTGCAAACACAAAGCGGATTTTTTTTTGGTGTTAAAATAAAAAAAAGAGCGATAAGAGACTGTATTTTCTGCAGATTTGGAAAACCAACACACTCTAAAGAGCAGCTGGATCCAACAGCAGCACAACTACGCTACAGTCATGCAGGAAATGCACAGCCCCAGCCCAGAGCCGGCTGCGGGTGACACACAACCACTCTGACACCCACCTCGTCTTCAGGATAATGGCAGTCAAGAACAAGGGTCTGTTTTGTATCATCTTTTATTACTTCGACCACGAAGTTTGGAGTTGATGTAAGATCAGGCTAAATAGGAGAAAAGTTGCATCAGCATCGGAGTCTGAACAGGAGCCAGCCTCTCGCCAGTACAGCCCAGCACAGCCCAGCACAGCCCAACACAGCCCAGGTTGTTCCCTGTCACCCTCTTTTTGGAGTCCCTGACCTGGCCAGGACAACCCAAACTTCCCTCAGCCTCACCAGCGGCCCTCCAGCCCCTTCTCTGCAGGTGGTCACGCAGGTAAAATGGCAGCAGGGAGCATCTCCCACCGCTGACAACCCCGAGAGCCTGCAGCTCACCTGGATGGTCCCTCCAAAGCAACAGGAACTGGGAACAGCCCCAGACTGTTTCGCCAGCAGGAGCGGCTCAGGCTGGCCCTCCTCCACGGGGGGAGCCTGGCGGGGCACAGAGGCCGCCCGACGCATGCACGGCCCAACTGCACCGCGCTGCTCCGCGGACACAGGCACACCCAGGAGGGGAAGGAATGCACGTGTGTCCCCAGTATGGTCCCACCATGGTCCCACCCAGTGGGGCGCAGCGCACTGGGGTCGCTACGACCCTTCAGAAAGGGCAAAACGGAGCAGCTGCATTCCTGACTCGTTCGGCATCAGCGTCCCTGCGGGTGAACCCATCTGCCCCAAATTACGCTGCCCACGTGCATTTTTCCCGGTATTTTTACTAAGGCTTATTAAACAGGAGTGAGACACTTTGACCTCCAAAACCACGCCGGTGAAGTTGTGGGAACAGCTCTGCGTTTCACCGACGCTGCCCACCAGCGCCGTGAGTTTCGCCAAGCACAAGAGGCGGTGCTCGTGGCAGGGGGTTGCAAGAGCAAAAGACACCAGAGTTCCCCTCGTTTCTCCTCGTAGAGCTCTCGCCCTGCTCTGCCTTTCTGCTGCAGAGAGGAGCGCTGCAGCCAAGTCACAGCCAACCCAAAAAGTCTCATTTTGTGACTTAATGCTCCCAAATACTAAGTGAGAGAGGAAAACAACCCCGAACACTTAAGGGCAAGGCTCTAACTTCCCTCTGTGTGCCCCTCACTGAAGTGCACATCAAGACTAAGTTACCTCCTGCTCATCAGGCTTCTGCTCTTCTTGCCCGTCATCATCAGCCGAGGGCGGAATGCTGTTATTGATGTTGAACGTAACCGTTATCCTTCAAAGAAACAGAAGCAGAAGCCGTTACTTTGAGCACACTCAAAAAATACCCATTGGAATTTCTTCTATTTAAGGTTCTGTGGTGGGGAACCGTTACTGGTGCTGAACTCGGCACCGTGAACAAAGCCTGGTACGGTGGTTCAAGACGCGCCCCTGAGCGAAGGCGGCTCCCCCGGCTGCTCTCACCACCCAGCCCTTTGCACGTCTCGCTGGGCTGAGCTGTCGTTTTTAACGCGGCGAGGCCGCACAGCGCTGCGTAACGCACGGCACAGCAGCAAACTTGCTGGCGGAGGGTCGCCATCAGGACACGCTTATCTACACAGGTACAGAGAAGTGGTCACTTCTTCACCGCAGCGCTGGGAAGCATGGGGGAAGGCTCCTCCTAATGTGCTTCCAGGTTACACCAAAAATTCAACATTTTTATATCCTTTTTCTGCAAAGTCACAATCTTTAACATATTTTAACATAAGCGTGCATGTTATGCCCGCTATTAATTTTGACATTTACAATGATTGGTCCACCCCATCATATAACTTCATTAATATGCCTATACTAATATAACCATTGGTTATTTTACTGATCAAAATCTCTGATATACAAATCAGGATGGGGAGGATGTGAGAGTCTTCACAGCAACATTCCTTTGTTTCTATGGTTTCATCATGTAAGATAAGATAACAAGCTGAGAGGGTACAATTCCACCCCTTGTACCTGTCTCCCTGCCCCCCGTTCTGTGTTCTGTACAGTTTCACAACCCGCAGCAGCTCTAGCTTTGGCCATCTTCGCAAGGCAGCAGCTGCTGTCTCTGAGCGTGAGTGAGGTTTTGTATATTGCTTACCTTAATGTAAATTAATTGAATCAGGAAATAATTAAATATAAGACATGAGTTGTTCATTAAAAACAATTAATTATCAATGAAAAGTAATTAGCTATTCAAAATTCAGATCTGGTTATAACAAACTTGTGCAAAAAAGCGCCCAGCGAGGTAAACCCGCGAGCCTCTGCTTTGCACCGACTGGCCGGGCAGCATCGCCAGGACCAGGGGCCCCAGGGGAC